CTGTGCGGCATACTTTTCTGCTTCCTGTCTTGGCGGTCCCAATGGCTGCTTTTCGTTTGCATGGTTTTTCCGCCCCTTTGGAGCCCGGTCTGCGCGGACCATCTACCTTTGAGGTGTTGCGCACTGTAATGATTATGTCAGAAATAGAGAACGAGGATTGCCGAATGATTGGCTTTGATCTTCTAAAAATTCCAGTACACCAGCTAAAACATTAGGAAACACAATTAGTTTAACGAGTAGCGATTAAACAGTGTAACACAACATCAGTATATAACAATCTTCCCCGCGGAGGGGTTATTGTCAAGAGAATATAGATTAGGTTTCGCGGTTTCGAAGATTATACGGTCGAACACATTGTTGGTCTGTGATGTACTGTAGAACATTCTCCGGAATTTCACTTAGTTGTTCTGGTGGCGCCGTTTCGCCTCCAGGGGGATCAAGCGAATGTGATTGAGTCTTGTCCGGAGGATCTGCTACACTTTTGATCGATTCGGTTAAATAGACATGCTAGATATTTTGTGCTTTGGGTGCCAGATGTCTAAGAGAAACAGTTTCTTCCTTTCCATTAAGGAAACGAACGCAGACACACTACGGGTTGCAGTTAACAAGTCCACCCCTAACGGATCATATTTGGAAGAACGTGTCATCCTTTTTAACAGAACGGGGCCTGGAGTCGATAGCCAAATCGGAAAAGAGGTGCCGTGCGTTGACTTCCGGTGGAAGCTAAGAAATCTTTCGTGTGGTGTTGTGTTAGTAGCGGTGCACAATGAAGAGCGAAGAGTGCGAAGCATCTAGGAATATGCATTTCCACTCAGCAAGGTCCCGCTGTTGGGTCTTCAACGCCAGAGTGATAGACTTCCAAAGAGTGCCGTTAAACCGTTTGACTTGTCCGTTACCGCGTGGATTGTATGGGGTAGTTCGACTGGTTGCCACACCCCTGTCGTGAAGAAACGTTTGTACTCCACCTGACATGAAAGCTCCACCACGATCTAACTGGACTGAGGGCATTCCGAGCAAAGAGAACAACTGATTAAAACACTTGATCACGGTGGATGAGGACATATCCGTACACACGAAGGCGAATGGGAAACAGGAGTACTCGTCGATCATTGTTAGAAGGTATTTGTTGTGGGAGGTCGTTGGAAGTGGGTCTTTAAAATCGATGCTGACGTGTTCAAATCGCTGTGTAGCTTTAATAAGATTGCCAAAAGAGTGATTCAGGAAACGAGGCTTCAATTCTTAACAAATACTACCTTGATTCGTAATCGCCTTAACATCCTTGATCGAAAACGACAATTTTTTGAGCGAACGAAATGAAGCATCCGCGTGATACCGGGGTGACAATGTGTTATGAAGGTGTTTGAGATCCACGTGTGACATCGCAGATATGTGATCAGTCCGCGATAGTGCGTCAGCGGCTTTATTCTAATTACCTGAACGGTACTGGACATCGTAATGAAAACAGGACAGTTCAAGTCTCCATCTCTGGATTTTGTCATTTTTTACTTTGCCTTCGTGTTGTTTGTCGTGAATAAAGGCGACTGATCGTTGGTCCGTGACAAGTGTGGAGTGATTGCCAATCAGGTAGTGTCCCCATTTCTCAGTGCCTCAACAGTCGCGTACGCTTCTTTCTCGATTGTTGAATGATGACGCTCACTGTGTGACAGAGTGCGTGAAAAGAAAGCTACCGGGCGCCCGTCTTGATTGAGAGTGGACGCTATGGCTATGTTGGAAGCATCAGTTTCCACAACGACTGGACGAGCGTAGTCCATGGTGAGGACGGCGGCGTTTTCCAAATCGTGTTTGAGATTATTCAGTGCAGCTTGTACGCTATCTGGAATGGGGAATATCTGATTATGGGCGGTTTGATGAATCTTATCTGAGAAACATGTAATCCAGTGTGCGTAGTAGGCCAGCATTCCGACCAATCTTCGTTGTGAACGGATGTCACATGGATGAGGCAACTCCCATAGGGCTCGAAAACATTGAGGATCCGATTTTATCATACCGCGAGATATTTCGTATCCTAGTAATAGTACGCATGCAGTAACTATGATACTCCTTTTCTGGTTAAATGTAATACCGTGACGTTTTGAGGCCT